TATGTACCTGGTGTGAGTTTTAAGTCACTGGGTCTGGGATTCAAACCACAGTCGGCCATGTAGGAGTCCAGTGACATAACCACTATTCCATTTGTTAGTCCCCTCCCTTTTTTTTTTTTTTTTTCCGTTAGGCAAGTGTGTTCACCAGAGAGAGGGAAAGTGAAAAATCAGCCTCCAGGGATTATGGCCATGCTGTCAGGACTTAAACCTTGGCTGGCCTTGGAGGATCCAGCACCTTGACCTCCATGCCATCTGCTGGCCCCTCTTTCCTTATCTTACATGTTATCTATGATCATAGATATGTTACTCTTGAATCATTTTTTGAATCCATAGGGAAGTCTCCAGATTTCTGCTGTTGGGTTCTGTTTGCTATTGTTTTATGATGCTTGTACTTATATTTATATTTGGTCATAGTTTACAAGTGTGCTTTGTCTGATTTTGGGTCAAAATCAGGTCCCCTGTGAATAAAAAGCAGAAAATGGGGCCAGCAGGTGGTGTGGTGGTTAGGGTGCTGGACTCCCCACATGGCCAACTGTGGTTCAAGTCCTAGGCCTGGAGGCTTGCTTTCTCACTTTCCCTCTCTCTGTTTCTCTCTCTGGTGAGTGCATATACCCTATACCAAATATAATATCAGTAAGTAAATAACTCTAAAAAAGAAAAGGCAGAAAAGACTTCCTCCTAGCTCTAGGCCCTGGAAGAGTTTAAGTACTACCAGGCAGTATTACAGAGTAGAAAAACCACCCTGCCTTGCTCCCCATTCACCCCACAGCCTCCAGAGAGCCTCTCCTCATTCCACAGCTGGATTTTAATTGATAAAGAGCAGCTGTTTGGTTTCAAATTTGATAGCCAGCTGGTGGCATGGGGGTTTAGGCAATCAGATCCCAGATCCCAGACTGCACAGTTTAAGTCCTGAACCCAGTGGTTTGAGAAACACACCAGCGGCATATGTGTGAGTGCTCCAAACCCCCAAAGGAGTGAGATATGGAGCAGAAAAGATTGTGGCATGACCGTTTTCTGTGGTGAGTGCCTTTTCACTTTCCCTCTTTATCTCTCTCTGGCAAATGCACACACCCTTTGGCAAATGAACAACAAAAAAGATTGTGACCCATTGGAAAGGTTTTTCTATTTTCCACCTTTTCCTCCTTTATTCATGGTAGAGCATATGCACACAGGCATGAGAGAGGGAAAGGAGCCTCCTCTAGGGTGTGGTCACACTGTGGTCCCCTTTCCCCAGCCTTGTAGCCTGTCAGATCTTGAGTACTTGTGCATGTGCTAGGTGTGTTTCAGGTCAGTCAAGCCAGGGGTTTGAACTGTAGTCATCATGTGGGATCCCTTTCCCTTGAGTAGCATACTATTGCCATGCTAAGGAGCTAGCCCCTAGTTTTCACTTTGGTGGCCAAAGGCTTCTCTTGTGCCCAACAGAGGGCAACCTTTCTCTTTTTATGAGAGAGGTTTTTTCCCATAGGGCGCATGTGCTTGCTGGAGCAACAGAGACAGAGAGACAGAAAGTGAGAAATCAACTTCCCAGGAGGATGGCCAGACCACAAACCCTTCTCTGTTCTCCTCTCAGGATCTCGGGCATGCATGCACACACACCTGGCGTGAGTTTTAAGCCCTCGGGTCTGGGACTTGAACTGTAGTTAACTATGCGGAAGTCTAGCCATGTAACCCTTATGAATCTGCTGGTCCTTCAAAGAACTTTGATGCACGTATGTTTGAGTCCTGGATCCATCTGTCACTACGTGTTTGATCTTTAGCAAGTTATTTAATCTCTCTAAGCCTATTTCCTTATCTGAAAATGGAGATGACAGTATCTACCTCATAGGCCATTGTTGGAATTAAATGAGATAATCCCAGGCAAAATGCTTAATAAGTGCTTACTGAGGGAGGGCAAGAAGGACTTTCTATGATTCTTTACTCAATAGTGAACTCTACAAGTTAAAGAAAGAGGGCCATCCCCGACAGCCTAGTGGTTAATGGAGCCCAATCCCACACAGTCAACCATAGTTCAAATCTTGGCCCTCGCAGTTTGAAAAGCACACCAGATGCATGTGTGTGTGTGTCTCTAACGTCCAGACAGGATAAAGAAATGGAGAGGGGATTGTGGCATGATCATGCCCCCAGGGAGGATGCTTTCTCCTTTCTCTGTCTGGAGAGTGCAGGTATACCTGGCAGTTAGTCTCTGGCAATAAAAAACAAAAAAACCAAAAAGTAATCTTTTAGATGGGGGGAAATGTGCATGAATTAAAAAGCAGTATCAAATAGCTTTAAATTTGTTTAATTGTGCCACCGCTCAAACACAAAGCCTACGATTTAGTTGTCTTTAATGCTGACCATTCCTGCTGCCTCTGTAGTTTGCTTTTATTGGTCACGCGAATGTTGCTAAATTAATTTCTTTCCAAGACTTAACTTTGTCCAGATTAGTCTAAGAAATAAGATTTATGTGACCATCTTACAATAAGGGCTTGTCTTTGGAGAATGACCTTTTATTTTATTTTATTTATGTTACAGAGAACATAGCCTTAAATTTATCAAGGTGGGTGGTCAACAAAGAATAGGGTGGGAGAGAAATATTCAAAGAGAAAACCATGCTAATCAGTGGAAGTCCTTTGGAAGTCCTTTGGGTCTCTTAAAGAGACAGAGAGCTCAGGGTGAGAATGATGATCCACACCTCTGGCAAAATGGAGTGTGGACCTCTGCTCAGGACGCGTGTAGCTTGTGTCCTGTTGGGAATCCCATCGATTATGGGCTTGGTGTAAACAGCCAGCCGTTCTCCCAACTGAGTGGGATTTGTGCTTATGAAGAATGCTTCTTGACTTAACATGGAGTCAGATTAGATAAACTCATTGTAAATGGAAAATATTTAGTTGAAAACAGGTGTTTTGTGGAGATAATGGGATGTGAAAACACGAAATGCAATATTCAAAAGATATTGGCAGCACGGCACATTGCAGAGTTTCGGTTGTTTACACGCATGATCGTGTGATTGGGAGCTGTGTTTGCTGCTGCCAGTCTCACGAGAGTGCATCGTACCCCACATCGCTAGCCCAGGGACAGATCAAAATTCAAATTCAAAGCACAGTTTTTAATTGAATGCATACCTCCTTTGTGCCATTGTAAACTTGAAAAAGCATAGGTTGAACCATAGTAGTAAATTGGGAACCATTTATACCTTCTGGAAGTTCAG